AAAAGAATACTGAAAATAAAACTTAGTGCATAATTCCATGTAGAATAGATAATCTACTTGGAGGATGAAATTGGATAATGATAAGACATGGATGTCCATTTTTAATTCCTTAATGTCAAGTGCTGCATTTATTTTAAAACTTCTGAGCTGTCTTTTTATTTCCCCGTTTTATATTACTGCTTACATTTTGCCTTGTAAAGTGCCTTGAAGTGACCTCAAAAGGACATATTCAAACTTTGCACGTAAATGAGGTTGCAGTAGAAGAGAACATCTTTAGCTCAGGATTGAAGTAAAAGTCCTTGGTGCTTTTTGAGCTTGGCTGTTTGCTTGAAGATGTTTCATTATGAACCTTGGTGGCACAGTGGTTAGAGTGCAGTACTGTTGACTGGCTACTTCTGTTGACTGCCGGCTGCCTAGTGATTTGGCAGTTCAAATCTCTCCAGGCTGAAGGTTGACTCAGCCTTCCATCCTTCCAACGTGGGTAAAATGGGGACCCAGATTGTTGGGGGCAATATGCTGACTCTGTAAACCGCCTAGAGAGGGCTGTAAAAGCACTTATGAATACCATAAGTCTAAATGCTGTTGCTTATTTCGTTTTGACTATTTAATAAATCTCTGCCCAAATCACTAAAAAAGAATGATGGGAGTTTAAAATGGGAAGTAATTAAAACAAGGAATTAAAGTGACTTCAACAGCATCCTGTTCAAGAAAAGGAGAAATTTTAGCATTTCTGCCTGTCTTTTTCTTTGATTTCTCTTGATCTCATTGTAGAGTGAGGTTTTGCTGCTTCACCCTTTTCTTCATACTTTTTCTTTTCCTTCCAGAAAACAGCCCCCTATTCTTTTAACTCCTTTCTGGTGTTTTAAGATTCATTTCCTTGGGCATTTTGATAAGGAGAAAAGAGTTTTGCAACTTGAATATATAGTACTGTTTAGTAGTTTCCGTTTCTTTTAATTGCATTAGGAATGCACTTTGTTCAGTCTAATTCTGTTGGTAAAATTATTATCCGTGCTTGGCTCTTAAGGCCATTGAAATAAACTGAAAAGGCCTATTCAGGATAAAAATATTTATCTCTAGATCCCCATTGTCGGGAATGTGCCACATGTTGTTATGAAATTGTTAATATTTCATTTTCATATGACTGTGTGTTTACAGTTTGGTGTAGTGGTTAAGGCATCAGGCTAGAACCTGGAAGATTATGAGTTCTTTTGGCTTAGAGAACTTGTAGACTGAAGCAGTTCTTTATAAATACATTTTTAAAAAACCTTGAAAGTCACACTCCCACTGCAACCTGGGACAGCCTGAAAGTCTGTGTAGAAAGGTTTGGGGGCTGCCCTTGGCTGCACTAATTTGCACATTAGTTGATACTTTACACTTGAATGAATGAACAGCGTGTGTCAAAACCTCAAGGCTTCCAGTGTGATTTGTCAAATTAGATTAACCGTGCAGTCCGACATTTACTTGAAAATACGCTTCATTGTCCTCAGTGTGGCTTTTTACCATGTAAGTTTTTCTAGGATTTTTTTTTTTCATGCTGATTCAAGGGTGGGAATTGGGAGTCATCTAGTATGACCCTTTACCCTTCTCTCTCCATCCCCAAATATTTCGGTCTCATAAATAGGTTCCACCTGCATTTGAAGGCTTTGGAGAAAATCATCCTGGTTTTGTTCACTGTCAGATGAAATTCCATCAATAGTATTGACTTTCCCCCTAAAGCTGTAATCCTTTACACGGTTGAAAACAAATGTTAAAGAAAAGGCATGATGATTAAGAAAATATGCATAAGATTGGATTGCATACGTTTTCAATTTTGTCGCAGCAAAAACAAACAAATGCTATATTATGCCTTTTTTATTTTTTTTTACAAAAAGCTTTTTTTTTAGGGGTGAGGCATAAATCCTAAAGCAGCCAAGCAATTTACAACATTTCAGGTTGTAAATCTGAATCAGCAATTTTTGATGCTAGCAATACTAGATTCTTTGTGGATCATTAGAGAGATTTGGGAATAGGAGCTGCTGTTTTGAAATTTAAGGTAGACTTCCAATGATGTCATTTTGAGACAGTTCTTCAAAATGGTATCCCTGAAGGCTCAATTCTGTCTCTAGGAGCTTATAGTGCTTACGTAAAATTGGGAAATCATTAAGAGATTTGAAGTTGGGTGATGATAAATTCAATGTTAGTTAAGTCTGGGCCTCTCTTGAATGTCTGTCTCCAGGATAATTTTGTAAAGCAAGTTTGAATTTAGATAATATTAGACAACCTATGACTCATCTGGTCATTATTTCCTTACCAGATCCCTTAATGTCTTCAACAATGGCAATGCATCCAATAGGCTCCCTTCACTGGAAAAGCTCAACGACATATTCAGAGTGGTATCTGCGTTGAAAATAGCTCATGTTGAATTATATATTAAAACATCAGGAGTTGACCACAGGAAATATCTCATAACATTTTGTATAAAATGTTTTAATGATAATTTTTATGTCATAAAATGTCATAGTGTCAAATTTCAATTTCACAAGAATCCTGGATTTTGGACGGATTCCATGTTAGCCCATTTGAAGTACCTTGATTCAAAAAATTTAATTAATATAGTCCTTACATACATACAGCAACATTTATTGAAATCATTTGAGGAGCCTTCTCTGTAGCCTTCCAGGTCTAAATGCTCTCCCTTCTAGTGCTCTTTACTACCTTATGAAAAAAAATTGAAAGAGGGTTTTCATATGCCAGTATTTAACTACAGTTCTGTTTTTATTGCAAACTGTTAAGTCACTTTGGCAATTGGGGACTAATGAGCCTAATAACCAATGTGTGCGCGCGTATGTGTGAATGTGTGTGAGACATATGTATATTTATTTGCAGCAAAATGTACTGCAGCACTTGTTTCATGTTTCTATGTACCTACTTCTTGCCAACATGCAAATGCTTTTGGTTTAGGAAGAGCATAATT